CTCGTTCGAATCCCTTCACAGCAGCTCCCAGGAAGGTGTGGCCAGACTCAGGTTAATCTTTGAGCCGTTGAGGTGGGCAAGCATTCAGTGGCAGACGACATCGTGTACCACTACTCCTATTTCTACTCCTACTTCTACTTTTTCTACTCCTACTTCTATTCCTCCTCTTGTCCTTCTAAGTTCTCTCCCTCCTCCTCGTCCTCCTCCTCCTCCTACTTCTTCTTCTCCTCCTCCCCCAACCACTCCTCCCCCCTCTCCCTTATCCTCCTCCTCGTCTTCCTGCCTCTCTATAACTCTCCAGGATTCGCCCCTCATATCAGACTTTTATTTCCCACAAATATATGAAACTCAATATCCTCCTCCTCCTCCTCCTCCTTCCCCGTACCCAGTCAATACTTCCATGTGCAAATGTGTGTGTGTGTGTGTGTGTGTGTGTGTGTGTGTGTGTGTGTGTGTGTGTGTGTGTGTGTGTGTGTGTGTGTGTGTGTGTCGTGAGTGGTAGTCAGGTGGATGAATGTGGGAACTGTCTATTATTGTCGTTGTTGTTGTTGTTGTTGTGACGATAGTGAATTAATTTGCATCAACAGCGGAAGTCTTTCAACACACAACACGAGATTAGGGTCAAGGTCAACCTCCACAACAGTCAATATTTATTAAAGGTTAAGTAATATACACCATCTAGGAACTTGTTGTTGTTGTTCATCCCTCTCCTCCAACAACAACATCAGTATTATCGAGCAACAGACAGACAGAGACGTTATGTATATATACGATACGAGTAACATCAAAGCATACATCTATCTGAGTGTATTCATATGTATTTTTTCCTTCATTATATTTCTCTGTGACAGCTCATTAGTGTTCTGACAACATCAAGACTGAAGCTGTACTGAATCATTGAACCCTTGAACCACTGAGCCCTTGAACCACTGAGCCCTTGAACCACTGAACCCTTGAACCACTGAACCCTTGAACCACTGAACTCTTGAACCACTGAACCCTTGAACCACTGAACCATTGAACCCTTGAACCACTGAAACCTTGAACTACTGAACCCTTGAACAACTGAACCACTGAATCCTTGAACCACTGAACTCTTGAACCACTGAACCATTGAACCCTTGAACCACTGAACCACTGAACCCTTGAACCACTGAACCACTGCCCCATTGAACCTCATATTGAACTAATCGAGTCATAATTCAGAGTTGCAAATCCTGGACATTCTGATACATTGTAATTTTATATTAATAAATTCTCTTAAACATATTCACAGAAGATTCACAATAAATACATATATAGGCTACATGAATATACATAAAAAATATATACACATACTGTACCTTGAGCTGGTAATACCTTGAGCTGCAGTAATACCGAAAGCATAATAATAATAATAATCATCACCATCAGTGTTAGTCCTACACACACACACACACACACACACACACACACACACACACACACACACACACACACACACACAAGAATCTTCAACGTTAAATGACACTTTGATATAATATTGTTGAAATCAATTTTCAACGTCTGATATTATTTAGAATTTTGGGTGTAAATCTTTCAATAAAACTCTACAACAGACATACAGGACGACCAATTTTACAACAGATTATTTCCTCTGGTGATTAAATACCCTAATGCTACATGTGGATGGGATAGGTTAGGATAGGTTAGGTTAGGTTAGGTTAGGATGGTTAATATTAGGGTAAAATAAGCTGGGGGTAATCCACGACTCATAAACATACTGTACTTACTTTAGTCTCTTGTGTGACTAAGGAAGACATTTTTCACCATCTCTGAAAATATGACCACAATATATTAAACAATTCTTCAAGTTATCAATTTCAATTTATTTTCTGTCTAATCCACGACAACAACAAAATTTGAACAATTATCAATAAAAATCATAAATTCAAACTGCTATTATTTTTAACATAGTTAGAGAGACACTAGCGGCATTCATCACTCTCCCACGACACGGTCATAGACAAAAGGTAACTTAATAGTTTGCTTAGTAGTTTGGCTGATACATATATGAGGTCTATAGCGTCCTTATAGTATTTTCAACATTGTGTAACTTATGCATACGACTCAATTATCTCAGTACAAGATGTCCCAGAAAAATTATACACGCTACTTGACAGATTTTCCTGGTGATCGCGTGAATTGTTGTATCATGACAACAACATTATCCCCACTTATCGATGTTTAAGGTTAGGTTAGGCTAGGTTAGGTTAAGTGAGAACGATGTTGTTGGTGTAACAGAAGGATTCAGACGATCACTATGACAACCTGTGAGGCAGAGCGCGTACACATATTTCTGAGACACGATATAAGCGTTCATAATTTAGAGTAAAAACCACAAGAACTAAGACTCTGCATCATAATAATAATAGTAATAATTCCTGCTCGTGTTGATTTGTCTCAGATTAATGAACGACTTCAACAGTATTATCTTCTTATACGGAATGATCCACAGAGCATTCAACAACACATTTACGCAGTCATTATCTTTGTTCATAACAGCAGGGTGAGGTGGTGGTGGCCGGCCCTCACCACCAGGCCACGGAGAGGTGAGGTGGTGGTGGCCGGCCCTCACCACCAGGCCAGGGAGAGGTGAGGTGGTGGTGGCCGGCCCTCACCACCAGGCCAAGGAGAGGTGAGGTGGTAGTGCCCGGCCCTCACCACCAGGCCAGGGAGAGGTGAGGTGGTAGTGCCCGGCCCTCACCACCAGGCCAGGGAGAGGTGAGGTGGTGGTGGCCGGCCCTCACCACCAGGCCAAGGAGAGGTGAGGGTGGTAGTGGCCGGCCCTCACCATCAGGCCAAGGAGAGGTGAGGTGGTGGTGGCCGGCCCTCACCACCAGGCCAGGGAGAGGTGAGGTGGTCATGGCCGGCCCTCACCATCAGGCCAGGGTGAGGTACCGATATTCCGTGATGGTGGTGTGATAGCTGCCAGTGAATTATTCACCTGGAGACGTGACAGCAATCCTCTAAGGTCCACCATACTGCCCCACCCCACCTTGCCCCACCCCACCCTGCCCCACCACGCTTTGCCCCGCCCCGCCCCGTCCCGCCCCACCCCATCCCCCAACCTCACGCTCTGCTCCCCGTCCAACCCAAACCCACCCCAATCCACTTTTCTAAAGAAGGTCATCTCTCTCTCTCTCTCTCTCTCTCTCTCTCTCTCTCTCTCTCTCTCTCTCTCTCTCTCTCTCTCTCTCTCTCTCTCTGTTGAACCCCCTCCCCCGATCCTCGACTCACAGACGTCCAAGCATATCTATTATTCGTGGTGTAGCGAGGTCAGAGGTCAGTATGAAAGGGTCAAGAACTCAAGTCAAGATCATCAGTCTCAGGTCGTGGCACGTCCCCTCACTCATGCTATGAATAATACTGGAAAGAATATTAAAACCCTTCACCCCCGTGCATCCCCCTACCCCTCCCCCCTCGTCGTGTACCTGTGAGACAATTAATTATTCTTCCTCAATGAGTCCAAAAGTAAAATGTCAGGTCAAGAATTGGATAGTTTTTTTACCAAAGTTCACCCCTTTTGTTTGATGCCGCTCAAATGTCATCACAATAGGTCAGTCACTCTACCAAACTTATTAATTGGGTTAGGTTAGGTTAGGTTTTTTTCGAAACTGGTCAAAGGTCATGGGTTAATATCCTACCAAATTTGATCTTTTTTTAATCGAAATAATATCACCTCTGGGGAAAAATTATCAGGTTAAATCCTAACGTTAAAAAATGGATTAATGTCTTATTCAACTCATTATTTTATTTCTTTTTTTGGGGGGGGGGGGTAATATTTTGTATATTTTACACCGATAGTTGTATATTCTAATCTTGCTGTATTGTCAACAACTTTTCGACAGGTTAATTCTTCTCTGGCAACACATCAATCTTGTTACATATTCACAACTTTTTGGTTTAAACTTGATGTATCTCGCTACCCGGTTTTCGGACTTTTTACAGTTTTAATATAATCTGGACTTACATTTTTACCACTTTTTTGGGAGTTTAATAGCTGGTCATTTTTCGGGCTTGTCACATTTCTATAATTTTTTCGGACTTAAAAAAATATTTACCATTTCTCGGATTTAACAATACAGTTTTCACCACACTATTGGACTTGCATTTTTTTCCGCCTTTTGAAACTCTTTTGTGGATCAGTTCCCGAGGCGACACCAACACCCAGGGAGGGGGAGGAGGAGGAGGAGGAGGGGGGTGTGGATGGGGAGTGGGAGGGGGGGTCACGTCTTCCATAATGTATGTAATATCTCAAAGACTTGTTTCTGAAGGCGTCTCTTGTTTATATCACCACCACCAGACAGCCGTACCTCCATCAGGCAGCTCCTCCTCCTCCTCCTCCTCCTCCTCCTCCTCCTTCACCCACTCGCCCGATCTCCTCCTTGACCCGTCCTCACCCCTCCTCCACCACCCACCAGACCTCTTTTGACCTATCCGCGTCCACGACACCTCCCACCCCAACTATTCCACGCCCCTCCTCCCAGCTCCTCCCCGCCCCTCCCCCAACTCTTCCCCGCCCCTCCCCAACTCCTCCCCCGACTCCTAACCAACTCGTTTGACCTGACCTCGACCTCCTTCCGCCCTCACTCGACCTTTCCTGGCTTATCCTCGATACCTTTGTCAACCCCGTCACCAACCCCCTCGCCAGGCTAAGGTGTGTGTGTGTGTGTGTGCCTAACTTAAATAACTTACCCTACCCTACCCTACCCTACCCTACCCTACCCTACCCTACCCTACCCTACCCTACCCTACCCTACATTCAATAATAATTACATTCTAACATCACAAGAAGGAACATCAGCCCCAGAAACATTATAGTATTTCACGATATTACATGAAAATAAACATAATCTCTCTGACAACACAACTCTCTAAGTCCTGTTATGGTGCAAAAAAAAACACGTTAGTTATTCTCTGACACTCACCTAACCTCCCTTCGTCACCTCCTCCCGCAGTGGTATGTGACGGGCTGAGACTACGAGAATCGGTCATCCCGCCCTACAAGCTACGAGGAGACACGGTGGAGCTGAGGTGTGACTACGAGCCAGGTAACTCCTCCATCTACTCCGTCAAGTGGTTTAAGGACGATGATGAGTTCTTCAGATATGTGCCAAGAGACTCCCCCCCCTACCACATCTTCCCTCGTGTGGGCGTCACTGTTGATGTGAGTAAGACATACATACATACATACATACATACATACATACATACATACATACATACATACATACATACAGTCATACACACATTACATACATACATACATACATACATACATACATACATACATACAGTCATACACACATTACATTACATACATACATACATACATACATACATACATACATACATACAGTCATACACACATTACATACATACATACATACATACATACAATTATATAAACAAAATGACAAAGACAAACAAATACAAAGAGCAACAAACAAGAATAAAGAGACAGACACAGTAATAAAGTGATCAACATAATGAGATAAACAGATAAAGAAGATAAGAGGAAAGATAATAAGAGAAAAGAGAGATAGAGGGAGAAACAAGGCCAATCAAATTATCCTCACAATAACATAATTAAATAAAGCCAAGAGGGAACGACTAACAAACACAGACATAATAACTCAACTAACTCTTTTACAATATAATTAAACCCACTAATTACTTTAAATCATCATATGTATATAGTTAATGACTTATTTCACCCAAACTGCCTACGGAACTAGTTTAATTATTTACAAACCTCCATTTGTTCAGGTGAAATATTAATTATCACTTAATTTAAAAATGGTGTCACGGGGCGGTCGGTTCACCTGTTGTCTGTACACCTGTGAACCCCTGATGTGAACCCCTGATGTGAACCCCTGATGTGAATCCCCAACGTGAACCCCTGATGTGAATCCCCAACGTGAACCCCTAATATAAACCCCTGATGTGAACCCATAATGTGAACTCCTGATGTGAACCCCAAACGTGAACCCCTGAAGTGAACCCCTTATGTGAACCTCTGATGTGAAAACCTGATGTGAACCCGTGAGCCCGTGAACCCCTGATGTGAACCCCTAATATGAACCTCTGATGTGAAAACCTGTTGTGAACCCGTGAACCCGTAAACCTCTGATGTGAACCCCTAATATGAACCCCTGGCCGATAGTGGTGTAAGATACTGTTGTTGGTGGTGAAATTTCTAGTGGTGGAGAGCTTGATTATTGGGACATGGTGGTGATGGATGAGGGAGAGGTGAGGGTGTTTTTATACTCTCTCTCTCTCTCTCTCTCTCTCTCTCTCTCTCTCTCTCTCTCTCTCTCAGGTCAAAATAATAACCATAACCAAACCAATAAGACCAAAATAACAACCCCCTCTTACCTCCTCCCAACCCCACCATTCATTCCCTCCCTCTTACCCCCTTCCCCTCCCTCCTACCCCTCTCTCTCTTACCCCCTCCCCTACCCCCTTCCCCTTACCCCCTCCCTCTTACCCCCTCCCTCATCCCTCTGTCCAATAGAGCTTCTCTGTAATAAGAAACAGAGGCCGCATTGTTATAGACATCTTCATTACCTTCTCACACACACACACACACACACACACACACACACACACACACACACACACACACACACACACACACACACACACACACACGTGTTACTGTTAATTATTGTATACGGTGGTTTATATTATTAGTGTGTGATTATTATTGTTTATTAATGTTATTGTTCATTATTATTATTATCATTATTATTATTATTATTATTAATGTTGTTGTTGTTGTTATTGTTGTTATTATTGTTGTTTTTCATGACTGTGCTTAGTATTACCAACATAACTATCACAGGTATTAGCCTAATAATCTCTACAGTCCTTGACGCTTTACATTAATAATTTCGATAAATGTGAGTGAGTAATGTGTCCAGCTGCGAGCCGTCAACGTTAATGGTCCATAAATTAGTTTTACACCATAACACTTATGCTTTTGGGGGGTGGGAGGAGGGAACAGGGGTGAGTGGGGGGTGAGAGAGGAGGGGGGTGAGAGGAGTGGGGAGGTGGTGGGTAGAGTGGGTGGGGAGGTGAAGGGAGGTGAGTGGGGGTGAGAGGTGGTGGGTAGGGTGGGGTGGGGAGGGTGAGACAGGGGGTGGGGGGGAGAGGTGGTGGGTGGTGGGGGAGGTGAGAAGACAGGGGAGTGAGTGGGGGTGGGGTGGAGGGGGAGGTGAGAAGACAGGGGTGGTGGGGTGAGGTGGTGGGTGGGGAGGGGGGGGGAGGTGAGATAAGAGGGAGGAGGAGGAGGGGTAGAGAGAGGGAAAAGAGGTGAGGAGGAAAGGGAGGAAAGGGGAGAAGCGATTAGAGGGGGATAAGGGGGATGGAGGAGAGCAAGGGAGGGAGGGAGGGTAAAATAGTGTGTTAGCAGAGGAACAGACTTGAATAAACATATTTAATGGATCGCGTCTTGTTCATGAATCACCCAGAGGCATTATCAAGTGCTATCACTTATCTTTTTAAACTAGAATTTGTACACACACACACACACACACACACACACACACACACACACACACACACACACACACACACACACACACACAGTGAGGCACTTTTTAGCAGTGAATTTTGGCTCAAAGTTTAAATAAAGTAAAGGAACAAGAAGTTCCTCCCAAGACGACGACAAAAACTCTTCATCAACGGGGGAAAAATAAACAGTTTTACCTTAACACACAAACTTAGCGAGGCAGCTTTACTCCTCCCCTCACCCCCATCTCCCTTCCCCTCACCCCATCTTCCCCTCCTTACCTTCCCTCTTCCTTTCCCTGCCTCTCAACCTCCTCCCCTCACAACCCCTCCTCTCCTCACCTCCCCTACCCCCCCTCCCCTCCTCTAACCCCTAAACTTAGTGGTGGGGGTTAGGAAGAAACGCGTGTGTGTGTGTGTGTGTGTGTGTGTGTGTGTGCGTGTGTGTGGCTGTGTGTGTGTGTGTGTGTGTGTGTGTGTGTGTGTGTGTGTGTGTGTGTGTGTGTGTGTGTGTGTGTGTGTGTGTGTGTGTGTGTGTGTGATCTGGGGAAGGCTCGTGTGGGGGTTTAAACTAAGACTCGCCTACTTAAACTGACTTGAAAATATTTAATATGATCTGTGGTGGTTTCTTGGTGTCGACGGCTGCATTCATGACTTTTTTTTCCCAGATCTACAGATTTTTAAGTTAAAGTTGTCGAGAAAACTACACAAATTGTTGTTGTTGTTGTTGTTGTTGTTGTTGTTGTTGTTGTTGTTGTTGTTGTTGTTGTTGTTGATGATGATGATGATGATGATTATGTTAAAAAATTTGGTTCTTAGAGTGTAACAGAAGAAGAAGAAGAAGAAGAAGAAGAAGAAGAAGAAGAAGAAGAAGAAGATGGAGGAGAAGGTGGAGGAGGAGGAGGAGGAAGAGAAATAGGGAGGAAGAAAGAGGAGGAGGAAGAGAAGTAGGAGGAAGAAGGAAAAGGAGGAGAAGGAGGAGGAGGAGGAGACAAAGTAGTTGTAGTAGTAATAGTAGTAGTCGGACGAGAAGGAGGAGGAGGAGGAGGAGGAGGAGGAAGGAGGACCTGTGTGTAAGGCTGAGGGCGGGCGTCTGCACCTGGGCTCTAATTCGTGTCAGCCGTCTTGAAATTATGCGGTTAAGTATGATAAACGAGTGTACCACGTGATGGACAAACGTTTAAACTGACATGAAATCAGCGCGAGACAGGTGGTGGTGGTGGTGGTGGTGATGGTGACGGTGATGGTGGCGGTGATGGTGGCGGTGGTGGTGACGGCGGTGATGAGCGAATCGGGGGAAAAAGTAAGAAAGCTGACTATACAGTGGAACCTCCATCTAACAGACTACATGGAGAGAGAAGTCCGTTATATGAAGGTATATAGGTTACTAAAGTATTATGGAACGCTTGGCAAACTATACTGGAGGAACGATTCGGTAAACAAGGAGGATGAGGGAACGTGAGACAGCTATAGTGTGTGTGTGTGTGTGTGATCAGTGACTCATAAAACACCACACACACACACACACACACTAAATGTTACCAACGGAATATTAAACAGCGATAAACAATAAAAAAAATACCCGCCAATAAAACACGATGTAAACATAAACCACTGATGAAAACACAATGGAAAAAACTTAATCACCCATAAAATACCAAAAAAAAAACATCAAACATCAATAAAACACGTAATTCCCTACGAATAAAACAGAGACCAACAGACATAGAGCAATAAAACACAGAAACATTTAGAAACCGTAACGATAAAACACAAATACTGACCCAAATAAACACAAAACAATTCAAATATACGAAAAGAATACACACACACACACACACACACACACACACACACACACACACACACACACACACACACACACACACACATACACACACACACACACACACACACACACACACACACACACACACACACACACACACACACACACTCATTAATATCCATGATTTCCAAATTCCCAAATATATACATTGACATTCGACATGAATATCTTACCTTGTCGCCACCACCACACCGATATTCTCTCTCTCTCTCTCTCTCTCTCTCTCTCTCTCTCTCTCTCTCTCTCTCTCTCTCTCTCTCTCTCTCCTCTCTCTCTCGCAAAATACCCCTCCTTCATCAGTAGTTGCAGCAAAATGTGACGTTTGAACTTAATGACTCTTTGTGTGACGTTCGGTGTGTGTGTGTGTGTGTGTGTGTGTGTGTGTGTGTGTGTGTGTGTGTGTGTGTGTGTGTATGTGTGTGTGTGTGTGTGTGTGTGTGTGTGTGTGTGTGTGTGTGTGTGTGTGTGTGTGTCATGTAACGTTTACTGTACTGTGTGCCTCGCTAGTTCAACTTGCGTCACACTCATGATGTCAAAGGTACCGTTACGCATACGATAATGGGGCATGTGTTCGGTTCTCATGTGACGGATGGGGTATGTGTGTGATGGACGGAGTATGTGTGTCAATGTGATGGATGGTATGTGTGTGATGGACTGGTGTGTGTGTGTGACGGACGGGTATGTGTGTGTGTGACGGACGGGTGTGTGTGTGACGGATGGGTATGTGTGTGTGACGGACGGGTATGTGTGTGTGTGGATGGGTATGTGTGTGTGTGAGCGGGCGGGTATGTGTGACGGACGGG